ATGGATGACACGCCTTTTCCTCCAGTGACAATACGTATCCTGATGCTTCAGGATGGGTGTGAGTGCAACGATAGTATCCCTTAAGCTGTAGGAGGGGTGGTTACCTCCCAGGGATGTGACTGTGCTGAATCTTAACAGAGCATTGTTTTGGGGGGTTCTGTATGAAATGTGTACTGGACTAACGAGTGCAGAAGGCAACAAAGAGAAGAAAACTTCCCTGCTTCCTGGTTCTGGGCCCTGGCATCCCAGAAGTTTATTTCAAAGAGAAAGACATGAAAAATAGAAATGGCAAAATGTTTTATTGAATCTCAGCCACATATATACTATTTACACCATAAGTCATTTTGCAGAGTTACCCAGGGAAGATGAGGAACAGGAACAAAAACGGGATTTCAAGGCTATTTCATTTTTTTTTTTTTTTGAAAGCGGAAGCAAAATGGAAATTGTCTGTGATGGCTAGTGCCCTCCCCTGGGGTCAAGGCCTTGGAAACCTCCTTGCTTTAGTTGCTGAAGCCTCTCACTCTGCACACCTGGGTAGGGAGCTGGCTGGATTTTGGTGGTGGTCTCCAAGGACCTTGTGGCTATTGAGCATGTCTTTCCAGCTCTTGGCAAGAGGCAGCACAAGAGACTTGATGTTTATATTGGGTTGTCGGAAAAGTCATGACGTATTTTTTTTGTTTTTCATTGCAAAAATGTGTCATGGCTTTTCTGACAACCCAATTGTCGAGCCAATCCACTGGGCTTCTGAGCTGGAAGTAACCAGAATCCTGGGAAGGTTAAGTCCAAGGCCCGCTCAGAGCCAGTCAGAGGGCCTTGGTGCCTCCCAGCTGGCCAGCGGGTTTAATCAAAGGTGGAGGTGTTGCGACAGGGTGCGTGTTTCCTATTTATTCCCTCCTGCACATTGACCTTGAGACCTGGGAGTGGGGAACTCCAGAGGTGCGTGGCTGGGACGGTCAGCGTGGTGAAGAGCTGCAGAGCTGGGCCAGGTTCCAATACTGGTTCTGCGACTTTCCAGCAGTGCCACCTTGGATACGTCCTTTAACTTCTCTCTAGAGAGGGACAGGGGCTGCCCGATTAGTTCTCACCGGCCACATTCTGCCACAGGACTCTGAATGCCAGAAGGCAGGTGCTGAAAGGAGCAGGTGTGGGATTCAGACCAGCGTTCTGATCTTGATGCGGCCCCTTGTCTGCATGACCTTGATCGTGCCATTTGACCTCTCAGCACTTCAGTTTTTATTGAGATCAGTGAGATGAGCCAGGGGTGGCAGGTGCTAGCACCTGGGGAGGGCCCACAAACAGTTCTTGGATGAGACTGGCCACGGGCGTCTTGTTCTTCCCCTTGACCTGGATTAGAGGGTGAAGAGGCAGGAGGCTCGCTTCAGGCACAGTTCTTGGCACACCCTCTCAGTCCTGTCGCAGGGCCTTTGCATAAGCCTATTTCTCTGTCTAGAAAACTGATCCCTCCTGCTTCATTTTTTAAAAAAATCGGATTCAGATGCCCTTCTCCCCCAGAAGCTTTCTCGGAGCCCTGTAAGCTCCCAGCCTCACCCCAGACTAGGCTCAGGGCCCCTTCCCACTGCTGCCCTAGCATCCCCTCCCCATTGTCTCTGCTGTTGTGCTGACCTCTTCCCATTAGAATCCTTGAGCCAACTGGTCTGTTTCCAAATGGACACAGAGCAGGTGTAATTCATGACCCTCTCTCCAGCTGCCAGCACACCTGCAGAGCTGCCTTTGGCCGTGTGGGTGGAAGGTGGAGGCGGTGAAGGGTAAGGCCTGGGCCTCTCCCCAG